TACAGAAGAGCATATATGGGGCCCCTGGGTGGCTCAGTCAGTTAAGCATCTGACTTCAGCTCAAGTCACGATCTTCTGGTTCCTCAGTTTGAGGAACTCTTTCTCTGTCCCTCCCCTGCTCGCTTTCTGTCTCTGTCTCTCAAAATAAAGACATAAAAAAAATTTTTTTTAATTAGAATAACCCAGAGAAAAACATTTTTAGGGTCAACTGGGTGGCTCAGTCAGTCGAACGCAGACACCGGCTCAGGTTATGATCTCCTGGTTCATGAATTCAAGCCCTGCATCAGGCTCACTACTGTCAGCCTGTCAGGCAGAGCCTGCTTCAGATCCTCTGTCCACCTCTCTCTCTGCCCCTCCTCCAGTCATGCTCTCTCTCTCAAAAAATAAATAAAACACAAAAAAACTTTTAAGAGAAATATTATTTAATTCCTATATTCCTGAGTGTTTTTATAATGAATAGGTATTGATTTATTCCAAAGCTTTCTCAGCTTCTATACAGACATAATATGATCTCTTTCTTTGATTTATTATTATGGTATGATATTCATTGATTTCTGAATATTAAACCAGATTTACATTTCCAGAATAAATCCCACTTGGTCCTGATGTTTTATTTTCCTAATGTGGCATTGAAATCTTTTTGCTAATATTTTATTTAAAATTTTTGTGTCAATATTCATGAATGACATTGGTCAATAGTTTTCTTTGTACTTTATCTAGTTTAGGTGTCAATATTAAGTTTATTCAATAAAAGAAATTAGGGGAGTGCCTGGGTGGCTCAGTTGGTGAAGCATCTGACTTCAGCTCAGGTCATGATCTCATGGTTTGAGTTCAAGCCCCACTTTGGGCTCTGTGCTGACAGCTCCAAGCTTGGAGCCTGCTTCCGATTCTGTGTCTCCCTCTCTTTCTGTCCCTCCTTGCTCACTTTCTCTCTGAAAAATAAATAACATTTAAAAATTAATAAAGAAATTAGGAAGTTTCCTTCCTTCTTAATGCCTAATATTAATGGTTTGGTAGAATTTTCCTGTGAAATCATTTGGGCCTGGTACTTTTTCTCAAGGTAGTTCCTTAATAATTTCCTGTCTCTTCTATGGAAATCAGACTTTTTGAATTTTCTAACTCTCAGAGTTCAATTTTGCCAATCTGAATTTCCTCAGGAAATTATCAATGTCTTTATTATCTGTATAGAAGTCTTGTATGATTTCAAATTTTTTCTTGCCTCAAAGGTTGTTTTCTCCTTATTGATATTGATTTAAAGTGTGTTTTAAGAGAAACTCAATATGATGAGTGAAGGAATGAAAAGATACTTTTTTCTTCTTCTCGGTGAATTGTTTTAGTTTTATTTATTTATTTTGAGAGAGAAGGAGCAGGCATGTGTCGGGGAGAGGGGCAGAGGGAGAGAGAGAGAATCTTAAACAGTCTCCATGCTCAGCACAGAGCCCTATACAGGGTTCCAATTCACCAACCATGAGATGATGACTTGAGGCAAAATCAAGAGTCAGGGGCTTAACTGACTGAGCCACTCAGGCACCCTTCTTCTTGGAGAACTTCTATATTACATTTCTTCTCTAGTAGAAGCATTCATATGATTTTTTTAAAAAGCAATATGAACAGAAGAATAAAGCCCAAAAGGATGCGCGCGCGCACACACACACACACACACACACACACACGGATGGCCTCTAACTGATAAGAGGTCTATGGTTCATTTAGTCTCCTTTGATATGAATTAATAAAAAAGTCAAGATATTTTTTGACATTTGAACCAGCCAATTCTTTTAAAAATTACATTTCTATATGAGGCATATTTTGGAGATGATAACATTATTAGTTAGATGAGCAAATTTTTAAGCTGCATACTGTCCCCCATCCCTCCAACTAAACAGAAAGCCTCTCTGCAGCTCTAGTGCAGTCCCTTGGTTATACCGCGTGCTCAAAAGTTGATGACTGATTATTACTTTGGCATTATTGTAACACATCATGTTTTTGTGATGTTTTTAAGGTATTCAAACCACTTCTAAGTATTTTCTTACTTGACTCTCACAATACCAAGTTAGGTACTCTTGGCAGGGTATCTGTATATTACAGTTGAAGAAAAAAAATCTCAAAGAGATTAAGTGGCGTTTCTAAGGCCATCTGGCTGACAAGGGATGGGGTAAGATCTGGCACTAAATCTACTCTTTCTTTTTACCCTACGGTGCTTCAGCAGCCCAACTTCTCCTAGGACATGTTTTCATTGTATGCCTCATCAGACTGTCTGCCAAATGATACTATCAATAGCAGAGATGTTATATAGGCAAAACAATTTAGATATTGCACTTTTAAATGCTCACTCAGGCTTAACAGGCTAATTACATAATGACTTAGGAAACCCAGCCATTTAAAAAACTTACTATAATGGCGAAATCATCTGTGATGCTAAGCAAAAGAATCAAATCCACTGTATTGCTTAGCATTTCTATTTAGCTGTGAGTAGAGTTTTTAGATATTCCACTCCCATTCATTCAACAAATATTTACTGAGTGCCAAGTACATGCCAATCACTTTTTCAGCACTGAAAACACAGCAATAGACAAAACAAAGTCTGTGTTCTCAGAGCTTACACTCTAGTGAAGGGAGACAGATAACAAACAAATGAATATACACTTGCACAAACTGTGGAGAAAGAAATGGAACTTTAAATGGGCTGGTTAGAGAATGTTTTTCTGATAAGAAGACATCTGACCAGGGACATAAAAGAGTTTAGGAAGTAAGCCATCTAAGCAGATGGAATAAAGGTAGAAAGGGCAGGAGGGAAAATTCTGTCACTCTGAAAAGTGTAGAAGAAAAATTGACTCATCTCTAAATCATCCATAGAGAGCCACCAAACCTATGCTTTTCCCCAAGATTAGAGAATTAGTGTGACTAGTGTCTTGTATCTATGTGATTGCTTTTATTTAAAATAACATTCCTGGGGCACCCAGGTGGCTCAGTCAGTTAAGTGTCTGACTTCAGCTCAGGTCATGATCTCACAGTTCATGAGTTTGAGCCCCGCATTGGAGCTGACAGCACAGTGCCTGGAGCCTGCTTCAGATTCTGTGTCTCCTCTCTCTCTGTTCCTCCTCCATTCACATTTTGTCTGTCTGTCTCTCTCTCAAAAATAAACATTAAAAATAAATAAAAAGATAAAATTTATATTAAGTAGTAAAAACTTAGTTTGCCTCTGTCACCTAAACAATATCAAATATTGTTTTAAACATTTTTATTATTTTTAAGTGATCTTTACATCCAAGATGGGGCTTGAACTCCCAACTCCAAGATCAAGAGTCATATGCCTTACCAACTGAGCCAGCCAGGAGCCCCCAGTACCAAATATTTTTTAAAAGAAAATACTGAATATTTCATTTCTTCATTTATTTTTACTTTCATATATTTACCATGTAGACATTGTCCATAGTTTTTTATACATATTAATTTAATTTTTACCTAAAGGACTAAAGCTACATGGCTTGGGGACCTTGAAAGATTCAGTTGACCAGGGAAATCAGAGGAGATGCACTTTTAGCCGGGTATTTGATGAGCTTAACTGTACTTTCTGTTATAGAAACCACACTTCTTGCTCAGAAGGTTTATTTACCTTCCTCATATATTTTTCTCTATGCTAGGGAAATATCCAAGATATTTAATGTATTTGTGTTACTGATCCCAGTCTAATGACCTCCAAGCCCAAAACTCAGCGACTTAAAACAGCAGCCATGGTACTTATTACCTTATGATTCTATGGGTTGACTGAACTCAACTGGGCAGTTCTTCTGGTCCTGCTCCATGTTTCTTGGGCAGCTGCATCACATGGTAGGGGAGGTTATAATTATCTGGAAGCTTGTCAGCAATGTGGGGAATGACTGAGTCTTTCTCCTTCCCCCAAATAGTTTTGGGCTTCCCTCTATGTGGGTTTTCCACATGGCTGTTTGGGCTTCCTCACAGGATGACAGCTAGATTCCAAGAAGGAAAATAGAAGCTGCCGTTCCTTTTAAAGGCTAGGCCCAGAACTGACACAGCATTATTTCCATTTCATCCTATTAAGTTAACAGAGTCACAGTCAGTCCAGATTCAAGAGTAGCATGGAAGTAGATGGATCTCAATAGATCCATCTTGGGAGACCAGTTACAGCATCTTCTCATCCTGCAGCATTGTTAAGTGTGTTTACTTTAGTTACATAACCAAATAGAAAGTCTATGACGCATGCTGATAAAAAGTGTTATGAAAACACAGAAAAAGAAATGAAGGAGATTTCAAGCTAATCTTGAATAATGAATGGTCTCCCTGGGTGGCTCAGGTAGGGCAAGTTAGGCAGAGAAAATAGCATGTGTGAGATTGCTGAGGTATGAAGGAGTCAGTGGTGTTTGGGGAGCACAGGACTTTAGAAGCATCTGAGGGGGTAGAGGAGATGGTGGAAAAACCTAAAGAGGAAAGCTGGTGTTTGATCAAGAAAGTGTAGGTTTCAAAGACATTCCTGTCAAGGCAGGACAATCCAAGGGACTAGAGATCACCTCCGTTAGCTGAGAGAAAAGCCAGATCCTCCTTTGGGTAAAGTTAATTCCTCAGCACACACCATCCTACCTGTATTTTGGAACACATATCAAGAGTATAAGCTTTAGTTTGCCTGAGTTGGCCTGCCCCATGTAGTTGCCATGATGCTAATTTTGAAAAACTGTTTATTTGTTTATTTATTTTGAAAGAGACAGAGAGACAGAAGAACAACCCCCACTGACAGTGTGGAGCCTGATGTGGCGCTCAATCTCACCAACTGTGAGATCATGACCTGAGCTGAAAACAAGAGTTGGATGCCCAACTGACTGAGCCACCCAGGTGGCTCATTCTCTTTTTCTAGGCACATAGTGGGATTGTGCTTGTTTAACCTCTTTGAAGATAAGTATGGCCTTGTGACTTGCCTTAGTTGAAGAAGTGTAAGTAAAAGTGATGAGCAAGCAGAAGGTTTAGAAGTAAATGAGAGGTTTTGCTTGCTTCAGCAGCACATATACTAAAATTGGAATGATACAGAGAAGATTAGCATGATTCCTGCACAAGGATGACACATACATTTTTGAAGTGTTTCATATTTTTAAGAACTTATAAAACTCAACACCCAAAAAGCAAATAATCCAATTTAAAAATGGATAGAGGATATGAACAGACATTTCTGCAAAGAAGACATCCAGATGGCTAACAGGCACAAGAAACAATGCGCAACATCACTCATCATCAGGGAAACGCAAATCAAAACTACAATGAGGTATCCCCTCACACCTGTCAGAATGACTAAAATCAAGAACACAAGAAACAACAGGTGTTGGCAAGGATGGGGAGAAAAATGAACCCTTAGGAACTGTTGGTGGGAATGCAAACTAGTGCAGCCACTGTGGAAAACAGTATGGAGGTTCCTCCAAAAATTAAAAATATAACTACCTTACAATCCAGCAATTGCACTACTGTTTATTTACCAAAGACAGGAACACTAATTCGAAGGGATACATGCACACCTAAGTCTATAGCAGCATTATTTACAATAGCTAAGGAAAGGAAATAGTCAAAGTGTCCATCAACTGAGGAATGGATAAAGATGTGATAGATAGACAGATAGATAGATAGATAGATAGAACGGATATATATATATATATATATATATAATAGAATGAATAAAGATGTGAAAGAGATATATAGAATGATACATATATTATATAGAATGATATAGATATATAGCTATATTATATAGAATGAATACATATATAGAATGGATATATATAAACATGTGAGATATTTATATGTAAATATATAATGGAATTATATAACATATATTATTTTTATATATTATTATTTATATATTATGTATTATATGCTATTTATATAATATATAATGTTATAACATACTGCAATTATATTATAATATATAGCTTATACAATATATTATATGTTATATATAATATATAACATAAATACATATATAAGATAACATAATACAACATAAATAATAAATATATATAATGGAATCTATTCAGCCATAAAAAGGAATGAAATCGTGTCATTTGCAACAACATGGATGGATCTAGAGAGTATAATGCTAAGCAAAATAAGTCAGTCAGAGAAAGACAAATATCATATGATTTCACACATATGTGGAGTTTAAGACACAAAACAAACAAGCAAAGAGGAAAAAATGAGAGCAAAAGCAAGAAAAAAACTCTTAACTATAAAGAATAATCTGATGGTAATCAGAGGAAAGGGCATGGGGATATCGGTTAAAGAGGTGTTGGGGATTGGGGTACCTGAGTGGCTCAAGTCAGTTAAGCTTCCAACTTTTGATTTCAGCTCAGGTCATGGTCTCAAAGTTTGTGAGCTCGAGCCCCAAACTGGGCTCTGCACTGACAATGTGGACCCTGCTTGGGATTCTCTCTCTCTCTCTCTCTCTCTCTCTCCCCCTCTGTTCCTCTCCCCTGCTCTCACTCCCTCTTTCTCTCTCTCTCAATAAATAAATAAAATAAACTTAGAAAAAGAGAGGTGATAGGGATTAAGGACAGCATTTGTCAATGAGCACGGGAGGATGTACGCAGTTGTTGAATCACTATATTGTACACCTGAAACTAACATAACACTGTATGTCAACTAAGAGTAATTAAAATAAAAAATTTTAAGAAGTTCTAAAAAGAAGTCAGTGAGAGATTTATCACATATTCTCTCCCCCACCTCAGGGACAGTGGAAACACAGGCTGAGATGGAGGTCGAGTAACTATGAAGTAACTATGTAGTAACTATGAGGAAGAAGTGCCCTGCCCCTTGTTGGACTTGCGGTGTGAGTGAGAAATAAAGCTGTGTCATATTAAACTGCTAACATTTAGGGATTATTTGTTATCTCATATCTTAGTCTGTCTTGACATTATAGTATGGGTGATTTTAAGCAAGTTATCTGGCTTCCCTGTGCCTTAGTTTCTTCACCTGTAAAAAGGAAATAATAGTACCTATCTCTTGGGGTTGAGGAGAATAAACAAGTTAAAAGTTATATTACTTTGCTAGGGCTGCCATAACAAAGCCACACACCGAGAAGCTTACACAGTTCTGGGAGCGCAAGTCCAAAATCAAGGTGTCAGCAGGATTAGTTTCCTCTAAGGCCTTTCTCCTTGACTTTTGAACATGGCTGTCTTCTCCCTGTGTCTTCGCGTGATCTTCCCTTTGTGCATGTCTGTGTCCTTCTCTTCTTCTTAGGTCATTAGTTAGATTGAATTAGGGCCCGTACTAATGACCTCATTTTAACTTAATTATCTCCAAAGACCCTATCTCCAAATACAGTCACATTCTGAACTACCGAAGAGAGGACTTCAACATAGAATATACATGTATGTGGATACAATTCAGCCCATAACAGACATGAAAAACCTTTATAATAGAACAGTCTGTGCTACACAGTGAATGCTCAATAAATTCAGCTATTATATTGCTATCATTATCTTTTAAATACACTGATAAGAAAATGTATTCAAGATATAGTATTACATGAAGAAAGAACACATTTGATATTATCCTTATTTATTTAATTAATAAGTAAACAAGCAAATGATATTGTACACTTAAAGAAAACTTAATCTAAAACATATGCCAACCTGAAAAGGCTATCTACTGTATGATTCCAATTATATGACACTCTGGAAAAGGCAAAACTATGCAGATGTTAAAAAGATCAGTGTTTGTCATACATTGGGGGAAGGGAAGGGATGAATAGATGGAGTGCAAAAGATTTCTAGGATTTTAGAGCAGTAAAACTATTCTGTATGATACTATAATGGTGGGTATATGTCATTATCCATTTGTTGAAATCCATAAAATATACAACACCAAGAACCTTAATGTAAACAAGGACTTTGGGTGATAATGATGCATCAATGTAGATTCACTAATTTGTAGACTACATTTTGTACACTGTATTTGCAGTGTAACAAGTGTATCACTCTGGTGGAGGCTGCTGACACTGGGAGGGGTTTTACTTGCTGGAGACCAGGGAGACTTATGGGAAATCTCTGTACTTTCTGCTCAATTTTTCTATGAATCTAAAATTAAAATTAAATTAGTTTTTAAAATCATTAAAAATAAAGTTTGTTAAAATTTTTTTAATGTAAAAAAAAGCCAAACTGTTAATGATGAGGTGGGGGTGGGGAGAGTGTTAAAGGGCAAATTATGGGAGTGCCTGGGTGGCTCAGTCAGTTGAGAGTCTGACTCTTGATTTCAGCTCAGGTCATGATCTCAGTTTGTGGATTCAAGCCCTGTGTGGGGCTTTGCACTATCAGGGCAGAGCCTACTTGGGATTCTCTCTCTCTCTCTCTTTCTCTCTCTCTCTCTCTCTCCCCCTCTGTTTCTCCCCTACATTCTCTCTCTCTCTCTCTCAAAATAAATAAACTTTTTTAAAAAAGGACAAAATCACATATTTCGGTGATTGAGTTTCTTAAATTTTTTGTGTCTATAATTTATAATCAGAAACAAATATGTAAGAAAGCAAAAGTAAGGGATAGCCAACTCCCTTGGGATGAATAGTAAAAAACAAAGATGGCAGAATCCACACCCCACACTTCTGTCTCATGAGGCCCAGTACACAGCTGATGCTCAATAGAAGTTGGCAAAATCTTCAACTGCTTGTTAATAGTCTCAGCCATCACACCATCTCTAAGAGATGCTCTAGGGAGAAGGCCCCATCTTCTCAGAAGCAACCATTGCCCTTTTGCCAGTGACTCCTGGCTGGGACTGATTACTCCAAAGGACAGAATGGAGACTTGGAGAAGCAAAGGCCACATGGGTATGGAGAGGTATTCAGATATCCACAGGAATTGTCCCCAGAGGAAAGTCAAGCCATCAGACCCAAAACTGGCAGGGCAGGGACTTCTGTAGGGGCCTTGAGAGACTATTGGGCACAATGAGGCTTTTTAAGCCAATATAGTAAACATCAAGCCTATTGGGTCTTTTTCCCTCTCGCTAATTATATTTTTTATAAAACATGAGAGCGGCTTCTAATTCCATTTTTACTGCTATTGCCTCTGTGCCCTTGAGAAACCGTAGAGGCTTTTTCACTACAATTTCCTAAGGAGTCCCTGGCATAATGTCAGTATTCAGCTGATTAATGGATTAAGGTATGTCTGCAAGAAGTGAGCAGCACTAGGGTGAGCTTGAAGGATTCCTATGTAGCAGGTGGGGGTGTAGGAGGCAGAAGAAAGGCAGGACAAGACTTCCATGCAGTAGACAGGACCTCTGGGGCCTTTAGATCTATTTTCCAATATTTATAAACGTGGAATCTAATCTAACAATACAAATTTTAAAACACTGCCCAGGAGAATAAATGAATCTCCCAAGGGAGATAAAATAGATTCCTGAGATGCCAAGTAAAGGATATGGAAGAGCCCTGGTGGTCCTGAGGTGGCAGGGCAGATATCTGTTACACTGGGACAGGCCTGAATGGCTAAAAGCTTGGGTTTTGATGACCATTCAGAGGTGGGAGATGAGGCCTAGGTGTACGAAGACTTCTTGAATTGAAGTTCTCCCTGGTAGCTATAGTGATTCTTAGAAAAGCAGCTCTGGCCAATGATAGAAGTAACTTTTGGCCACCTCTGAATGATCCAGGCAGGTGCTGATTTTCACAGCATCTCCCTAAGCCAAATATAGCTTTTATTGATTAATCCAAGAATGGATGTAAATCTCCACAATTTAAAACTTTCTTCTAATAATCACTCAAGTGTTAGAGTCAGGCATACCAGCATTGTTCAGAATAGTAAAACATTAGAAATACAAAAATATCCATTATTAGAGAACTGGTTCAGTATGCTGTAATGTGCCAGTTACTTATTGACACACAACTCCAGATTTACTCTTTATTGCCTGCTCTGAAAAAATGGATCTGGACCCCTTAAACAGTTTTTCTTTGCCAACACAAGATGTTACACTCAGTCAACAGGGGGTGATGGAAGGTCACCAAAAGAAAAAGAGCTTTCTTCTTCCTAGTTCTCCAGTAGATTGTCAACAAACTCATGCAAGAATATGCTTTTTTCTCCACTGCCTAACTCCAAGTGGTATTTTCTCTACTATCTGCTAGG